CGTAAGAAAAGGGGCGACAGTGGGCCACCGGGTGGCGCCCCCGCATTGTGACCCCAGAGCACCCTACGCAGGGCCATGCCAGGCAGGGGCAAGGCACCAGGTGTCCCTGGGGGTGCAGTCCCAGGCTGGCCAGCAGCTGCAGCGGCAGGGCCCCCCCCCGCTCCGTTGTAATCTTCAGTAGTGCAGCCTAAAAAGACCTTGAAGATGGGTGACTGGCTGTCAGCTGTAAAGTCCAGTTCCAGGCATTTGAGGCTCACACGTCGCACCTTGCGCGTGAGGCTGGTCATCTCTGTCCTCACCTGAGCGGGACTGCTTCACGCCTGAAGCATGGGGCTCTGCACTTGTGTAAAAATCACCTGACTCGAAGCCATAGCCTTCTTGCACATCCATGGACTGGCTGCTTCCAGACCCCTGCTTGCTCAGAGGTCCTGGGACTCTTGGAGGGGCCATGGGTGCAGGGCCTGCTGAGTTGGTGCCAAGACGCTCTGCCACAATTTTGCCAAACACCTCTGCGCTCTTGGTCCAAGTGTTGAGGTCCCACTGAAACTTCATCTCACCATGTGGCTCAATAAAATCCACAATCATCTTGAGAGCCCGATGCAGCTGGAAGTAAATCAATTTCTTGGACAGCAGCAGTGCTGTGTTGTTGTCACTCTCCAGAGTCCAAGAGGCAAAGCACAGGATGTGCTCCTGGTGCTTTTGAATCTTGGTCATGGTCCAGTGCTGGCGCTCCAGGCGCTCCTGTTGCCTCTCCGTCACCTTCTGGACATCATTGACCAGCACGCGGCCTCGCTTATTCAGCTCCTTCATGATCTGCAAAATGGCCATCTTGACATCCACCTGCACACGCTTCTGCACATCAGACACCTGGTGGATCGAGCTGCGGACCTCCTTGATGTTCTTCTGCAGGGTGGCATTTTTGTCCCCAAGGCGCTTCACCAGGAAGGCCAGGAGTTTGCACTGGTTCCTCACCACATCCTCCAGGAACTGGTACTGGTAATCTTTGTGGACATTAAACTGGCAGTCCCGGCAGGTGAAAATGTCACAGCTCTCACAAAACAGCACGAGGGGTTCATGCTTGTACACGTTGCAATAGACTGTGCGCTCACCATCTCGAGACTTGGCTGGCCCCGGCGCACACACGCACAGAGGGCAAGAGCGAGCAGACGCGCACACCCGGCGAGTCAAGTTCCGCAGCCTGGCATGGTTTCTGGGGACCTTTACGAGTAACACCTCCCTCAGAAGCCATGTTGAAGGGATGGAAAAGCAAAACACACCCCA